TGTTTTTTTTTTTTTTTTTTTTTTTTGCTTCTGCTGATGTCGTGCATCAACTGTCAAGTCTTCTCGTGAGGGAATTAGTCCGTGTTTGAGTGAAGCAATTGAACTTATACATGCTTAACATGGTACCTTCTCTGTTGGACTGTATTTGACTGTGATCAGGACAAACGAAGCCCTTGACTATACATCAGGAAGCGGTTTTATTGTCTGATGATTGTACTGACAGAATAGAATATGTAAAAGCTGGCAACATGGAGCAAGGAAATGGTAATGTGGAAGGTCGGATAGATATATCCAGGGATTGTTCGTCTCCCAAGTCAGATAAGATTCCCAATTGCCATAGAATCGTTGATGATTCTGATGGAGGATTTCAGTTGGTACATGATATTCATAACGTGGACAATGATACCAATACCAGTACACACATATCCATTCAAGAAGAATTGCACCATGGATCAGATGTTGATGCTGAGTCAGTTGTTCCCAGTGAGGGTGGAATGACACTGAATGATTCTGGATTGGAAAAACCAGTTGATTCTTTGGATAGTTATGGATTTAGAGATTTTGATAGTAGCACTGTTGTAGATACAGAATACTCTATTACTGAACTTAAGGAGAACCCATCCTTTGTTGAACAAAGAAATGTGTCCAACTTTGATGCTGACCCCCTACCTGCTATAAGTGAGCAGCAGGATGAAATTCCTGGTTCAAGTGGCAGTAGAAGTTCAAATATTTCTAATGCTTCTAGTTTTGTTGCCGATAATGAAAGTGTACTTGTCAATATTGCTGTCAGTAATCAGTCAAATAAAACAACTTCAGATCCTGAAGATGCAGAAGAGAATGCTCCATCATTTTCAACCAAAGAAAATCTTGACCTGAACAACATGCCACAGGTCATAGACAAGTTGTCCTTGGAGGAGCAGAACTTTTCAGAAAATGACCTCTTTACAAAATCATTTGTCTCATCAACCAATAACTTTATTGACGAACAGATTACAAATGATAATAATGAGGTTAATAAATGTAGATCTGAATCTCCAAATTCTGGAGCCTTTTACTCTGCACCTGGTATTCCTGCTCCATCAGCAGTTTCTGCAGCTGTAAAGGTGCTTCCTGGAAAGGTTTTGGTTCCTGGAGTTGTCGATCAAGTTCAGGGACAAGCATTAGCTGCTTTGCAAGCTATAAGGGTATTTCTTTGTTCTTATTCATATTTATTAAGAGATAGTAGGTTAAATTTTAGTTTTGTTTGAAAATTTGCTACATAATCAGGTCATTGAACCTGAAGTTCAACCCAGTGATTTATGCACACGCCGTGAGTATGCTCGATGGTTAGTGGCTGCTAGTAGTGCTCTATCGAGGTAGTTGTTTATTTTTTTTCTCCCTTTTACTCTTATGTGACATAACAAAATATAAACAAAGGTTAGCTATTTGCTATTGTTATAATATGCGGCTATCTGTGTGCCATTATGATTACTTTTTCAGGAAAACAATCTCAAAGGTATATCCTGCCATGTACATAGACAATGTTACTGAGCTTGCATTTGATGATATCACCCCTGAGGACCCTGATTTTTCTTCCATTCAAGGTTAGAGTAGGATATGTGAATGTGTGTTTTAATATTACAGTTTGTCAGTATGTATGTCTTTCTTCTAGCATATCATGTCTAAAGAATATGGATATTTCAGGTGTGGCAGAAGCTGGACTTATCGAAAGCAGGCTTTCAAGACGTTTTAGACAGTTGTCTACAGACAAAGACTATGGCCCATTTTACTTCTCCCCTGAAAGGTATGCTTTACTAAATTTGGAATTGGATATATGATTTGTGGTTACCTTTCTTCTACTGGGCCAACACAGTTTTTATTCAATATTATTTGAGTTCTCCCGAATTTTTTAATTATTCACAATTTTGACACTGTATCTTCCTTTCTTTTCATCTTGTAACTTTGTATTAGGCCTGGCAGAAGCTGGTTTAGGGTTTAGGCTATGATTGTGATTTCCCTTCTCTCCTATATTCATTTCTTGCAGCCCTTTATCACGTCAGGATCTTGTTAGTTGGAAAATGGTTCTAGAGAATAGACAGCTTCCGGAAGCAGATAGAAAGGTTTCTTAAAATTGTTGCTTGGTCTGATGTACTTAATCTATTCATGTTTTTCTAGTTGTACCGTAACTAATCAGTTGTTTGCTTCAAACATGATAATTGATGGGCAGATGCTGTACCAACTTTCTGGTTTTATAGACGCCGATAAGATACACTCTGATGCATGCCCTGCAATTGTAGCTGATGTATCTGCTGGGGATCATGGAATAATAGCTCTTGCATTTGGTAAGTCACATTCTCTTTTTAAGTCTTTGAAAATGGATGTCTGTATGGTTGTGAATATGTGTTTTTCTTTCATTTCTCTGAAAATTATTTTCTGCATTTGATTTTAACTGTTTCTTCTCTCTCTCTTTTCTCGGGGGGTTAAGGTTATACACGATTGTTCCAACCGCATAAACCAGTAACCAAGGCCCAAGCTGCTATAGCCCTTGCTGCTAGAGATGCTTTTGACGTAATTAATGAAGAGCTTGCACGCATTGAGGCAGAAACTTTGGCTGAAAACGCTGTTGCTTCTCATAGTGCTTTAGTAGCTCAAATTGAGAAGGACATCAATGCAAGTTTTGAAGAGAAGCTTTCCATAGAGAGGGAGAAGATCAATGCTGTTGAAAGAATGGCTGAGGAGGCAATATGTGAGTTGGAAAGGTTGAGAGCTGAGAGAGAAGAAGATATAATTTCCTTGATAAAGGAACGAGCTGCCATTGAAACGCAAAGGGATGTTTTTTCTAGTTTAAGACATGAGGCGGAGGACCAACTACAAAACCTTATTGGTAACAGGGTAGAAATAGCTTATGAAAAAGAGAGGATTAGCAAGCTTCGGGAGCTAGCAGAAGTTGAAAACAAGGATATTACACGATTACAGTATGAGCTAGAGATTGAACGAAAAGCCTTGTCAATGGTCAGGTAAAATTATGAAACCTCATAAAGTAACTAAATTTGTTTGATCAGCTTTAAGTTATGGTTTTATTGATATGGTAAAAGCATAAAACAATTGGGGACAGGTTGTCTGATAACATCGGTGTAACTTTTATTAAATATTACACCACTTAATAACTTTATATTAAATGTGAATTTTGTAAATTCAATCGTTAGATCGAAAGTTTTTCTCTTAGATCATATATATAAAATTTTATATTAATCCAAGATGATTTGAAACTTCATTCTTATAAAACAAAATTGATGTAATATATACATTTTAAAATATACTAAAATATTAACATTTTGATTACTTTCAAGTTCTTGTTCAATTTTAACAAAATTTGATATACATATAAAGTGATATGAACTTTCAATCTAACGGTTGGATTTACAAAATTCACATTTAATATAAAGTTATTGAGATGTGTAATATTTAGTCAAAGTTGCATCAGTGTTATTATAACCCTCCTCATATATATATGAGAAGGGATCCACTTAGACTTATTCTATTCAATAACTCGTGTTCTACTTCAAATTTTAATAATCTAACCGTTAAATTAAAAGTTTAGATCAAGTTTATAAATTTTTTAAAAAAATTGAAAATTATTTGGTACTCTAATTTGTTAATTCAAATCAATGTATGAAATGCATTTATGATTATCCGTTAATTTGAATTAATGAAACAAAGTATCAAATAGTTTTCAAAATTTTTAAGAATTTGCAAAGTTAATCTATATATTAAAAAATTTTAATTTAACAATTGAATAGTTAAAATTTGTTACAAAACATGAGTTATTAAATGAAGTAAGTGTAAGTAGACTTATTATTGGAGTAAGTGAATCTTTGTTCTCTTTATATATATATTCACATTTTACTGTTTGTATTGTACTCTAGAATCTTGATTGATATGTAATTATTCAATTGATATATGCATTAATTCCAACTATATTAATTTGTTGATCCATTTATGTTTCTTGGTTTGGTGCTTTCTACTTGGTCAAAATATTTTCTTGTTTCTACTTCAGTCTCGAGATTTTCTAGATTTTCAACCAGACATATTCCTTATATCTGAATTCTAAATTTTTGGTTTATTTTTACATTGTATTATATTATATTACCTCAAAAATGGTTCTTAAAATACAAGTATTTCTTGCGTTATGATTTACAGTCATATATTGATGTTGATGGTCAAAATCAATCATACGCCACTATTATTCTTCAGTACCATAAAATCAGCAGGACTCTTTTTTTTAACCTGTCAGATACTTTGCTTGTAGATCTTCTTGAACTATTGAAGCCAATGTTGGCATTATAGATATTATAATTGGCTACTATGCTTAGACATAGTTTTGTTATCTGTTATCACAGTAAACAAAATAGTTCAGGAGCACCCATTTTGTCTCTAGTCTAGGCATAAAGTTACATTAACTGTTTGGTTTCAGGGCATGGACAGAGGACGAGGCCAAACGAGTCAGGGAACATGTAGTGGCCTTGGACAGGGCTAGAGATCGTTGGGAGAGGAATGAAATCAAAGTGGTAGTTGATGATGATATCTGTGAGGACTCTGCCGAGGAGCCGTTATCGGTTCAAGACACGGTTGACAGTGCTGACAACTTAGTGGACAAGCTAAAAGAAATGGCAGCAGATGTGAGGGGAAGATCTAGAGATATGATTGACAAGATTATCCACATAATTTCTCACATCGTAACAAGATTGAGAGAATGGGCATGCAAAACTAGAAAACAAACTGAAGAATTGAGAGAAGCTGCCATCTCAAAGGCAAGTAAGTCAGCTCATGAGGTGCAGCAAAGTGCCTTTGATCTTGGATTTGCCATCAAAGAAGGGGCAAAGCGAGTTGCAGATGACTGTAGAGAAGGAGTTGAGAAGCTCACTCAAAAGTTCAAGACCTGATCTCTCCCTCTCTCCCTTTTTAAGTGCTGTCATGTTCAGCGAATTTTGGTATACATCATACTCGTGTGAACCATGTCATTTTTGTATAATTAGGAATTGTGGCGTTGTAATAACCAGTTGTAATTAAACTTGTTATCTTTATGGCACAAGCATGTCTGCACAGTGGAGTTTCAAAACTTCCTTGAAGCACGCTGAGATAGTTTTTGAGCATGACCATGCAAGGAATGGTCCTCGGCATAATTCAAGATCCACATTCTGGGCAGAAACTTAAAAATGTTATACCTATCCAATATAGAATGTTACACCGTCATAGATGTAAATGCAATTTTGAAATAATTCTCATTCAATATTTCACATTAAAAAGACTTCCACCCATGTTCGTACAGCCTTAAGGATGGTAAGAACAATTTGATGCAATAAAAAAATGAATATGAAGCATTCCTAAGTTATACCAGAATGCTCATTAAATAGACATCTGTTCATGCAATTTATTCTAATCAAATTCAATTGTATAATTAAATACATTTTAAATAATGTATTATATAAAAACTTAATAATGAAAATTAAATTTAGCTAAAATTACAAATTAAAAATAATCGTTCAAAACCCCATCAAAATTTACTTATTTTTAAACAAATCCAGGATTGCATTTTTCATTAAAGGAATAAAATTTATTTGACAGTGCAGTCTTATGTTTTGCAAAATATACTCCCAAACACGTCAGCAACGAATCATTCACCCGCAGATGCCCCTAGGCTTACTTGGAGAATTTATGTCCTCTAGTTCAATTACATTATAACCTAGTCCCCCACTCCTATCCTCTTCCTACTATTATAATGACTAAAAAAACGTTAAAATAATATTATTCTTATCAAAAGCATCGCCATTCTCACAAATAATGGTGAAAAATGTCCCATTTCTTGTGCCTTATGCCAATCACAAAAAACATCATCCTAAAGTCAATTGATTCTTTACTCTGCAAGAAAACGAACAATTGGTTCTTTCTAAACATCATCCCTGCGAGGCAAACAAGAACACGAAATCTTCATATACAAGAGCTTGTCTCGTTTAAGAAAATCAGTTTAAAAGACCGCTCGCTCCAAAACAACTATTCTAATTTATATAAATAGAAAACAATAATAACACAAAGAACACTGCATATACCTATGATTGTCACATTTTTAGCATACCAAACCCCCGATCAGAGTTTACTCTGCAATATAACCACTCGGGCAACTCACACGATGCGAAGTTCAATTAAAAAAGGATTGTAACTCATTTTTCAGGTAAAACAGAATAAGCCAATTGTATTTTTTTTTTTTCATAAATCATGTCTAGGTTAAGCAAAACACATTTCTCAAACAAAAATCTTGAAGTAAACTAATTGAACCAAAGCAAAAAAATAAGACAGCTTATCCATCAATACACCGGTCCATCTAACAAAACTAGAACAGAGTAAGCAAGATTCATTTCTTCTTGTCTCCAGCTCCACCAGCCCTGCACACAATGGAGAAAATAACATAAGTGAAATTAACACTCAATCAATAATGCAGTCAGAATAACAAATTATATAGGATATACATAATATTGAAAATAGACCATAAAACTACCTCATCTTTCGGAGAACATTGGACATCTCCTCTCTCTTCTTCTTTGCACGCTTGTGAGTTCCAAGCTTTCTCTTTGCAACCTTGAGTGCTCTCTTATCCTTCCCAACCTTGAGCAACTCAGTTATACGCTTCTCATAAGGTGCAAAACCAGCAACCTCCCGAATAAGGTTCCTCACAAAGTGCACCCTTTTGCTTGTTTTCTGTTTTAAGTTCATATATTTTAGGATCACATATAAGATAAGCAAATTAAAAAGAAAAGAAATAAAATTAATGTATATCTATCTAAGAAAGTCCTATGGTGGATGCATTAGACATCAGGCTTCCCCTTTACTTTTCATCTATTACACAGCTTGACAAAGAAGACCCAAGAATTAACAACCAACATTTTAACCTAAAGCTTGTCTTTTACGCCTGCAGATTATAAAGTTACATTTCACAACCAATAATACAGTTTATCAAGGGTGAAAACGAAAAGGAGGAAGAGAAAATGGGTCCCCAAGGATCGGGATCAGCTTGGGAAAAATCTAAATGCTCCCTACTGACAAACATTGACTCCAGTAAAAACGGAGAAGTACCAAAAACCTCAATCCTTTGCTGTTGTTCTCGCAATTCCCCCGTATGAGAAAACTACTCAACTCAATCAGAAACCTAATAAACGCTATAGAAAAACAGAAAACTAAAAAACAAAAATAGCCTCTATGTTATTCAGCAAGACAATGCCTCTCTCATCATTCCAACTAGAAAGACAAAAACAGATTCTAAGAACCCAGTAACAGCATCGGATGATACTTTGACTCCAAAACCACCACTAACAACCTAAAAATAAGAGACTATAGAACTGAATCAAACTTGAAAATAAAAAAGAAAACTTACCCCCTTACGATCTGAGGGGCGTGGGGGCAATTCCTTCTTGGTGACAACGTGACCCTTGTTCAGTCCGACAAACAGACCCGTACTAGGCTGTTTGGGAGCCATTTTCCTGCCACAAACCCAACACGCTTAACAATTGTTAATGATTCATGCAATGAGAAACAAATGCTCGACAATGAATGAGAAATTGTAATTTTGCGTTAAGATAAGCGCGAGAAGAAGATCAGAGGCACAGGACAATACCTCTCCTGCTGCTTGGAAGCTTCAGAAACCCTAACACCAGAGTGTGCGGTGAAAGAGAGAAGACGAACTAGGGTTTTTAAGAAGCTGCTTCGCTTTTTATTAGAGACTCAAGTTCGGCTGTGGATCCACTTCGGGCTAACAACTGGGCCGGCCCATGAATCGAGTTGTCAAAAACAAAAAGCTCGTGATATATACACCTCCTTTTTTATTTATTTATAAGTACATCTTCTTCTTTTAAAAAAAAAATTATAAAATATTATAATTTTTTTAAAAAAATTAATTTTACACTTTCAACTTTCAATTTGCTACTTTCTTATTTTTATTCACATATTTTTTTTTCTCTTTCAATTTTCACATGCTACTAAAATAGGTGGGGTGAAGGAAAAATAAGGGAGTACATTTAAAAATTAAAAAAAGAGGAAAGATATGTGAAAAAAAGTACTAAATTAAATGTTGTAGATGTAAAATTAAAAAATTTAAAACAAACAATTAAAAACATTTTAAAATTTTAATTATTTTTTTTAAAAGGAGGTGTACTTATAAAAAAAGAAGGTGTATATATCATGAACCAAAACAAAAACCACTGTTGTACGCATTGGTATAGGTATTAATTAGCTTAAAAGGTAGACAGTTTTTTTTAATAATAATTTTATTATTTTTTATAATCACTTACGATTAATTTTTGAAAAATTAAAATGATTATTTTTAGTGAGATTGGATAAAAAATATTATAAAATGGGTCAAAAAGGGACCCAATATCTTATTATCATCCGTTTGTTTGACTATGATAAAACTAAAATCAATTTATATTTTTAATTTCTTATTTATTATTCTTTTAAATTTTAAATTTTATTTTTTATAATTAATAAAAAAATAATGCCCATACATAATTTGTACTAGGTTTATACATTAGTTTTCAGAAAACTTGACTGATTATTTAGTGAGATATTTCTTTCTATTTACGTTTTTTCTTTTAAAATTATTTCAAAATTTTAAGTGTTAAAAATTATAAGTGTTAAGTGTTAAAAATATTATTTCAAAATTATAAAATAAAATAAAAAATTTATAGAGAAAATATTATTTTATGTTTTTAAATAGAACTTAAATAATTTATTTAAAATATATTGTTGAAAAGTACCTTTTGAAAAAGCAAATGAGTTTGTTTGTTTAAACTAAACAAAAATGATTACAAAGAAGTGATTTTTTTTAAGTGATTTTTAAATAAGCAGAAATTACTATGTGTTTGTTTACCCCATCATAAAAAGTTTTTTTTTAAATTAAAATCACTCTTATTTTATTTTAAATTTCTTGTTTCTCTGCCACGGCAACTACTTTAAACTTGGTGTTTTTTCTATATAAAAAACAGTTTTATGCTTTTTCCTGCTTCTCCTTTTTTTTAAAAATATCCAAACATGTAAAAATCACTTAAAATAAAAAAGGTGATTTTCTGTAAAAGAAAATTAAACAAACAAAAATACACAGGTCTAAAAAATATTTTTTAGAATATGATTTTACTCGTTTAGAAAGTATTTTTTTTAAAAGAGTATATTTGGCGTGAAAGAGGTATATTATTAGTGAAAAGAAGTGTATTTAACGAAAACCCACATTTTAATGTAGGTGATAAACTTGTTTTATATGATCAGTATTTTCACTTGTATAAAATTATATTAATTATATAAATAATAAGAACCTCCTAGGAGATTGTTTTCCAACCTTAAGCCTGTGATACCATGACACTGTCAGATTTTCAATGCCTCCAGCCAAATTTTCTTTTCTTGGTGCTTTGCTGTACTGGATTCTTTGATCAACGCAGATATTTGGTACAAATTGTTTTCACTTTTTTTTTTTTATATAATAATTTTTCCACCTTGTTTCATTGTTGCATGCTATTACTCGAGTCTTCTTATTTGTCAAATGGCAAAATTTTCGAATCTGTGACCAAACTGATCATTATTGACATTGGCTGAAGTTGCAGAGTTTGAGTCCTTGAGTTTGTGGCTTCCCCTGGAAAGCGTATCTGTTTCCAATTTGATACTCATCAACCCCTCTGAAACTTTTTCTCAGTTTATTAAATTCTCCAGATTGTATAGTAGCTAGCTACTTACCCACTAGAAGGCTTGAATTGTTTCATCTCATCTTACTCATAGTGTTTTTGTTTTTGTTTTTTGATACATCTACTACCCTAAGTTACAGCTTCTTTGTGATCACTGTTGAAATCCACAATTTCAACATTGTCAATATCCCGTTTATTGTACAAGATACACAATACATTAATGGAGTAGTAAGTGTCCTAATGTGGTTATCATCGTAATTCCAATCGATAAAAAAAAAAAAAAAAGATACATGGTACACTTGTACCATTTTAGTTTGTGCTTCAAGTTTCACATTTGGAATTCATATTTATTTCTGTAAAAGCAAGTCATTGCATTCAGGAAATTTGCCATTTTGTGGGGGTATTCAGCATACTTGGTATGCCTAGGCTATAGGTAAATGTCAATCCTGTGCGGTGTGCCTCTTGTAGAGTGTGTGTACTGTCTGGCTTGTGCTCGTTGGGCTTGGAAAAGATGTATCTACACAGCAGGCCATGACAGTGAAACTTGGGGCCTTGCCACAGTAGAAGAATTTGAGCCTGTTCCTCGCCTTTGCCGATATATTTTAGCCGTGTATGAAGATGATATTCGACACCCTCTTTGGGCGCCTCCTGGTGGCTATGGAATCAACCCTGATTGGTTAATACTCAAGAAGACATACGAAGATACACAAGGGCGGGCCCCACCCTATACACTGTATCTTGATCATGATCATGCCGATATAGTTCTTGCCATTAGGGGACTAAATTTGGCTAAGGAGAGTGACTATGCAGTGCTGTTGGATAACAGATTGGGGAAGAGGAAGTTTGATGGGGGGTATGTTCACAATGGGCTGTTGAAGGCCGCTGGATGGGTTATGGATGCTGAATGTGAAATTTTGAGGGAATTGGTAGAGGAGTATCCAAACTATTCTCTGACTTTTACTGGACATTCCCTTGGATCAGGAGTGGCAGCAATGTTGAGCATGGTAGTGGTGCAAAATCACGATAAGCTTGGACATATTCAGAGGAAGAGGGTCAGGTGCTATGCTATTGCACCTGCTAGGTGTATGTCACTGAATTTGGCAGTCAGATATGCAGATGTAATCAACTCTGTTGTGCTTCAGGCAAGTTATCGGAATCTTTTTGTTCAGTTGAAGAATCCTTGGTATCCTTTTGAATATTTTTACATCCAGTAGGTTGTGAATTGTGATGAAGGTAAAATTAAAGCATTTGTACTTGGAAGTTAACTACTCCTTTGCTTGATCAGGATGACTTCTTACCAAGGACAGCCACTCCATTGGAAGATATATTCAAGTCTCTTTTCTGGTATGTCATAAAGCCTTGTATAAGAGTAGCTCCCTTGTTATCCTGCTTAATATACAAAGATAGAGTGTGATCTAGTTTGCTAAAGAATGGTTTGCTAACTTAGTTGATGAATTGTTGACCAAGCCAATTCCAACCATTTTCACACCTAAGTCAGTTTTGGGCTTTTGACATTCTGAACTCTCCAATTTCTGAATTTTTTGGATCTCCAAAGTTCAGTTTTGGAACTACTTTTGCTTTGAGGTTTCCAAATAGTGTTTGAATAAGACTGAGATGCTATTTGATAAACTTTAGATTTTTGTACCATGATTTTTTTTAGTGGTATCTTTCCTTTCCTAATATGCTTCTTTCTAGTGGTGCTGGTCTTCGTTTTAAGATTCCACCTGTCTACCTGCCATGTTGTCCACTTGTCCCTCTAGCTAAGTTCATTTTCTTTGATTTTGCAAGTTGTGGATAGTGGGGCGTGCCAGGTACCAAATTTGTACGATTTGTTTGATGTCTTTTTTGTTAAGTGCAAGTTATTTGTAACAAGCACAGCTTTGTAAGGTTCTTCAGCTTAATAAGGAGCACCATGGTAGTACTAAGAAATATGAATTAACAAGGTTCTTGGGTTGGCAGTTTGCCATGCTTATTGTGCTTGAGGTGCCTGAAGGATACATGTATACCAGAGGAGAAGATGCTACAAGATCCGAGGAGACTCTATGCTCCTGGTCGGCTTTATCACATTGTTGAGAGAAAGCCTTTCAGGTGTGATTAAGGTTCCAAAATGATCTTATGCAGAATTGTAACTGTACTTTTGGAAATTACCTGCAGTTTCCATTGGAAAATATGCTAATACGGTCACATTAAAAAAGATGTTTATATAAACTTTACTTTTGGCTTTCACATTAACACCTTTTATGTGCAGAATGGGGAGGTTTCCCCCAGTTGTAAGGACAGCAGTTCCGGTAGATGGAAGGTTTGAACATATAGTCCTTTCTTGTAATGCTACATCTGATCATGCCATTATTTGGATAGAGAAAGAAGCCCAAAGGGCTCTAGATGTAAGTTTGAACATATAGTCCTGTACACTGAAAACATATTGACACAACAAACATATTCAGAATACCGTTCCTTTTTATTCAATGCATGATAGTCAACCTTTGCCATTTGGTTTTTGCCAACTGCAGTTGATGAAGGAGAAAGATAACACATTGGAAATACCTACTAAGCAAATCATGGAGCGGCAAGAAACATTAGCTAGACACAGTCAAGAATACAATGCAGCATTACAAAGGGCTAAAACATTAGATGTTCCACATGCTTATACACCACCATCACAATATGGAACTTTTGATGAGGAGGGAGAGCAGAGTTCAAGAAGGTCACATGCTGAATCTTCTCTTGGCTCAACTAGTAGGAGTACAGTAGATGAAACTTGGGATGAAATGATTGAGCGTCTTTTTGACAAGGATGAGCATGGCCACATTCTGCTTAAGAAATAATGGTCAACTTAAATTGATTAGTTTATAAATTATTGTTGGGAACGAAATTCGTTCATTCTTTCTGTGATCCTTTTTGCTGTGCAGTTGTGGCTCAAAGATGGAATAACATGAAGAGGAGAATGATAAATTTAGTAGAAATTGTTTCAGAACAGTTTCCACAACACAGTAGAAGCATATTGGCAGCATCCTAGTTATTTGTTACCCCTTCACACACTAATTGAGGTTAATCAAATGTCACTTTAGAAGGTATCGTCATGAAGATATGGTGATTATGATGTCTAAACAACTTCAACAATTAGCCTATTAGAATACAACTTAAAAGAACTCTCGAGAACTTTTCTATTGAAAATAAAGAATATTTTTCAATAAAAAAATTCTTAAAAATCTTTCTAGATTTGTATCTAAACATTTAAGATGAATTCTTAAAAATATCCCACATTTACAATAACAACAGGTGAATTATTACAAAACACGGGAAAATGAAATTTAAGATGAATCAACTCGTTGTTTTGGAAAATTATGATATGTACACATTTCAGTTAATTAAATTAAGGCTTGCATTTCTGGTAGCATCCTTTTGGCATTTCCAACTCTAGTGTTTGCTATAGTGCCAGAGCTCAATTTGAAAAGTTGCCATGGCCAACAAAAGCGTCTCACTTTATGGCTATTGCGTTCACGTTTTTCTGCTTCTTCTAGTTGTCTGGTTAGTTCTTCAACCCGGTAGCGAAGTTCAACTGCTCTAGTATCAGCCAGCTGCAAAGATCTCTCTGCTGCTTCCTGTGCAGTAATTGCAGTAGTTGCAAGTTCCTCTTTCAGACTTAATTTTCCATTGGATATGTCCAAAGCAGCCCTAGTTTTAAGTAGTTCTTGTTTCAAAACAGCCACCTCATGGAACAAAAACATAGCATTAATAAACAAAGAAATAGAGTAATTATAAACTTTATAATCTTTTTAAACAAAGAAACTATAGAGTAATTTAGCATCCAACCATGACAATTAAACAAAGAAAGACTATTCTTTGTTGATACTATATAATCTTTTTAAGTATATCAATGTTCTTCTAACATAGAAGCATTTTATGGCAAGTGATATAACCAAAATTCCTTTTTTTTTGTTATAGAAATGAAGTGGCAGGAATGAAATTTGAACCTAGCTAAAACCTTTTGCTAACTACTTAAACCTCCCATCATTAGGCCAACTGATAGTAACTCTAAATAGACTTTCATGTTGTCCTTCGATGTAAACATTTATTATGCAAATTATCTGAAATGAAACTCTAATTCTAAGTGAAAAGCAAAATATAAAAATTTGCATCCAAGTTTTGTCCTAAATGATATACTAAGAGGATATAAAACTATACAGCATAAAACAAATTTTTACCACTTTGTTACGCTCTTCAATCTCTTTCTTTCCAGCTTCAACTTCCAACTCACAAGCTTCCTTCCATCTAGCAACTTCTTCTTCCGCTGCTTTGATTTCCATCAAAAACTCCTCTACCTGTTGGCAAGTCAGACAAAAAGGAAAAGTCTAGTAAGCAAAAGAGCTTTTCTAAGTGAAATATTATTTCATTTATTGATGAAGCAGGTGATTACATTTTGAGCCAAGATTCTCTCTCTATCTTCTAACTCCTTAATATAGAGTTTGTTTTCTGCAATTTCTTTGGCCTGTTTCTCTGTGAGACACTGGAGGCGCTCTGTGTCTGACCTGGCATGATTTTCATGATAAGTAATCCAAAACCAAGGACTTAAACTCAATATACTCATGAATTGTAGCAACAAGCCAGATTTCTGTAAAAACAAAATAAGCTAAAATAGCCTAATCAATCTGAAGGTATTTTAACTTTTGCGTTTGTATAAGCCAAGAGTGTATAAATTGCTCATATTTTTATCTAGCAGTATCAAAGAAAAGTAGGAGGCATCTGAATGGGCTTTGCATGTAACTGTAATGTCGCTTTATTGCAAATTATGCAGCATTAGCAAAAAAAACCATATCACTATAATTAAGTTGAGATGAACTTCTCCATAAATATTTATAGGTAAAGAAATAAAAAAAAAATCACAGTTATTTGATAAGTCAAAATCAAATTATGCGCTTCAAATTTTGAAACAAGTTAGATAAGAGGACTTATAAAAAAAATTAAAGTGCATAAACTACTACTTTTCATTCAACTATTTGTTTTCTTCTCTTACAAGTGTTTGAGACTGTGATAACAATAATGTATGAACTCAATATAATATTAGATCATAAAGTACCTAGATTCTCCCAAAGATCTCCTCAATTGAGTGATTTCAAGACGTAGATTCTTCATTATCCTTTCCACCGTTGAGGCCTTGGAAAATGACCATAAATTTCAGAACAGGCTACAACTGTCATCTATGAGAAATGTCACCTTTTTTTTAAAAGCAACACATAAAGATGCGATAAATATAACTAAATATGATGCTGATGCAATAGATGGGCACCGAGAGATATTAAAAAAAAAAAAATAGAGTGACTAGCAAATTGTAGCACAAAGGAGTTAATCTTGGTCCTAACAACATCACAGGTTTGCAATAGTAGGGTGTCAAGTGTAAAACTACCTATAAGCAATGTTATAATCCTTTATGTTCGTGTCCTTTTTCTCCCCTTGTTAGATGATACGGGGATCTAACAAAATAGACAATTTACCAAGATGACCTATAAGTTTTGATACAGTATTAGATTTCATCTTAAAGCCAATTGATATTAAGTCAAGTTCTCCTACAGATATATAAAAGTTTACCGGACTATATAAGGATTTCGTAAGAAAGATAATAGGTTTCAAACCTAATAACTTGTACACCAATTATAAGGAATTAAAGATAATACGAGCTTACCAGACTAACAACTTCCTCTTCGCACTCACTGCCATCTGATTTAGACCCACAACTCTCTGTTGATTCTTCATTATTCCCCCCTCCCATCATGAACCCAAATCCAACTTTCTGCAATCCAAACTGCAAAAGGGGCATCCTTCTATGATCATGTCCCTTTATTCTCTTCTCCAATGCCTCTTTCTCCAACAAAGCAATCCTAAGCAAGTTATTAACATCCCTATTCTCCTCAGTTAAGCTGACCAAACTACTCTCCAATTCTCTCTTCTCCTTCCTCCTCATGTTCTTGTACCTATCCACCCTTGTCTCGACCTCAATGGCAAGCCTTGAGATCAACCTTGCCTCTTCCAACAGCATCCTTGATTCCACACCTAACCACTCCCCTTTACCATCTTCTACAAAAGTTTCATCCTTTTCTCCCTCCAACCCCTCTATCACTCTAGACAAACTATCCTTAGTTGAAGTGAGAGATTCCAAAGCCTTGAACATGGCCCCATTTCTCTCCTCCCTCTCACTCTCCAGTCTCTCAACTCTTTCTCTGAAATACTCCTCTTCTTTGCCCTCAAACTCATGTTCTTCTTTTTCTTCTGAAACCACTTCAAAGTGAGGGACTTGATCGGAATGAAGAAGGTGGTCAGAGAGTTGAGGGGGGCTGGGACGAGGTGAGGGTTGAGAGAACTGTTCCATGATGCATAAAATAGTGGGTGCTTGGGGATCTTCATGAAGAGAGAAGCAGAATAAAGTTAGCGGAGGTGGAAAAATATGAGAGATTCAAAACTACCAGTCAACAGAGGGAAAGGTTGGTAGAAAGAGGAGCTTTCAAGTTTTGGCGGGGCTCTTCTTCATTCTTCAATGTCTATTGGAACTAACAGCCAAGTAGCCAACACTTCACTAACTTCTCTATATTTTGATATTGCTTTTTTAATGGCTTAAACATATTTTTAAGTCTTTAAATATAAGATATACCTTCTTTTTTTTTATAAATTTGAAACTTATGTTTTTTATTTTTTTAATTTTTAAAAATATTATTTTGATCTCTCAAATTTAAAATTTATATTTTAATTCCTCTAAATTTATTACTATTAGTTATATTAGTTGTGATATTAATCACTAAAATAATATTTTTTAAAAATTAAAAAGATAAATTTTTAATTCAATAGACCAAAATACTTTTTTTATATTTTAAAGATTAAAAACACATATTTAAATTTGAAAATAGAAAAAATATAATATAAATTTAGAAAACTAAAAACATAATTAAACTTATTTTTATTCATATTTATGTTGTGAATATATAGTTGGACTAATTATTTTCAAAACATAGATATTGTTAAATAAGTTTGATCTTTTCTAACAAATTCTTCTTTACATGCATAATCAAAAATTTAACTTTTAAACATGTTTAAGTAACCGATGCTTGATAACTTGCCTTTCATACATGATGTGCAATGACGGTGAGTTTTCGATTCTTTGGATTTGTATATATATTCTATCTAAGAATTAGTTTGAGACTAGAATAGTTAATTAAATTAATAAAAGAAATTAGTTTGTAAATTAAATTTTAATTTGAAGTGAAAAATTAAGTTTACTAAATATATAATTAAATTCAGTTTGATTCATTTGATAAATAAATTAACTTGTCATACATTAGTAGTTTAATACACGTACATGAGTTTTATGTAGTATTTTACAGGAAAAAAAATATATAATTTGATTGAGTTGAATTGAAATTTTTATCAATTTGATAAAATTAGAGTATAGGGTGAGTTTTAGGATGTATTATCCATCTCAAACTTAGACCTACTTATTGAGATAGAACTAAGATTTTATTATTAAACTTATTCTTCATAATTATTGAAAAAATTAAATAATAATATTAAAGTTGAAATCACACATTTTGTTTAAAATACATATAAAAATTTACGTAATCAGATTTGAGGTTGGATTTTTTTTCATCTATAAAAGTCAGATTATAGAATAAGTATTCAGATGTATTATCTATTTCAAAGTTAAACCTATTCGGATAAAGATAGAATTAGGATTTTATTATTAAACTTATTTTTTTATATAATTATTGAAAATATATAAAAACAATAATACTAAAGTTGAAATCACACATTTTATTAAAAATATACTTGATATATAGAAGCAAATTGAATTTTAAAAAAGGTAATGAGTTATATATACACAAGTTTCCGGGAATTAGTTTGAATCTGAATATTTATCTTTTTTCCTAAACTCAACCTAAAATTACTTAACTTTTATGAGAAAGGCAAAACTCAGGTCCAACCTATTTTATTGTCATGTCTAATAATCAATTGTTAGAAGAAAAAAAAAATTGATAGCAAATCATAGTAATAATGAAAATGATAATCCTAATAATAATAATATTAGTATCCACTCAACAATGAAGCACACTGCCCAAGATTGACAATATTCCTACATTCTAACTAATTTTATTGTCATCAAGCAGACTATTTTATTTTGAGGTTCAAAAAGAATTATGGTAAATGATTTAGATCAGACCCGTAAAATTCAGATTAAAAAATTTTGAGTCTATTAATTTGATTTGTTTTTATTTAAAAATACATATAAAATTGTAAAAGTATAAAATAAATTAATTTTACTTTGTTCAACGAGTCAATAAACTAAACCAACCTAACAAAATGTTACTCATAAAATTCGGACTGTATCGAGCTACTTCTCACCCCTTGACAACTCCAAATATTAGTGATATTGCGATTATAATTACATTTTTTTTGCAAGAGTTTTTGAAAGAGATAGAAGAACTGGATGATTTGTTTGTATGATTAAAAATATATAACCATTTTTTTTTAGTTTTTAAAATCGAAGAATATATTTAAAAATAAACTAAAAATTAAGTCAACTTAATTTATTTGAACATATTTTATTTTATATTTTATATTTTAAAATAAGAGTTAAAAAATTTGTAACTATTCTAAACACACATTTTTAAGTTTAATTCTTCCACTCACACTAGCTGAGTCTTTCACTCATACTAATTGATACTCTTGCTCAATTCTTAGACTATCTCCCACGACTACAATTTTTCACTAATATTGATGATGTTTCCTAACCTTGCAAAAGATCACAAGAATTATCCAAACTTTAACTCTGCCAAAAAGAAAAAATTGTTTCCATACAACAAAAATTATATAACTTGTATAACATTAATGTTATTAATTTTATGTATATCTTTCAATCATTAATGATATATATTTTTTTATAATAAATGAATCGATTGAGAGATAAATATAAAATTAATATTATAAAAATTGTTGTACAATTTTAGTTATCTACTTAAAAAAAATATTTCCAAACACATAAATATTAATCTTACTCAAAACTCAACAGTTCTTAATGATAAAAAATGTCACAAAAAATGATTTTACCATTTAGTGTATAAAATAAAACGTAAGATGGTAATTAATTTATTTAAATGCATACAAAAATCCCATTATTTAATTTATATTTTTCTTATCAATATCGATATATAATAAATTGATGATAAAAAACATATATAATAAATTCTCAGGTTATCAAGTGTCAGTTTAATTTTTCTTTTCATTCAATGAAATTTTTGTTATTCCCACATTATTATTGGTATTTTGTTTAAATAGATTTTTTTTTTCTGGGGATCCAAGTATCTGTTTTTAAATAAGTTAGAAAACTTAATGGTAGAATTGAGGTATTACGTATAAGTTAACAAATCATAATACCAATAATAAAAAAAGTAATAAGTTAGAGGACTAGTTACAAGGTTCATTATTTTATTTTATTTTATTTTATTTTTTTAGGGGAAGGTTCATTATTTATACCATAAAAAGAATAATCGTTCTTAGAATTATATCCTTTTTCTTGAAAAAGAAGATAAATGTAGTTGAAATTCTTTTGTTATACTAGCTGTAATATCTTAAAAGCAATAATTTAGAAGAAGAATCATAACAGAGCTACACATGGAAGTGACACCAAATTTGTAGATATGATAACTAATGTGAAGCTTTGTAGCTTCTGTTAGTGTTCTGGATATTTCTTCCTTCTTACAGCTGTTCTCGCTATAAAAGTGCGCCACATGGGACGATCAATAGATCAAATATAATTTGAGAAAATGACCAAGATCACCATGCCAACTTTGTCTCCCTCTACTGTCTCATTCACTTCACCTTAATGTAACTATACCTAAAGTTTAAGTACCCTCAAACCTGTTTAAGGATTTTGGACCAACTTGGTAAGGTGATGTGATGTTCCTGGTGGTAAGACCTAAGCATAGTGTTTTAAAACCCGGACCGACTCGGCCGGTCGGACCGGTTGGACCGAGAACCAGTGGTCCAACCGGTTCGAATATGAAGTTGAATCGGTTATGCAGTTGACCCGTTTCAAACCGGATTGAACCGGTCAATTTTCCGGTTCAACCGGTGAATCGGTGGGTCAAACCAGTTCAACCACTTTTTTTTTTTAAAATTTTTTTAAGGGACCATAAATCACAAAAATAATAATGAAAATTGAATCTCTTAATGAAAAAGCAAGGAGTCTTATTAAATATAACAATGACTACTTGTTCTAATATATTTATTTGCAATATATACAACTTAAATAACTTTTATAGTATATTATTAATTTTAAATTATATATTTAATAATGCAATATCTATGTAAATATTACATATATTATTTTGTGATATTAATTGCAAGCATATTATATATGTACATATTATTTATATTTTTAATTTGTATTAATATACCGTTTAACATGTAATTTTTTTATGTATTTTTTTACAAAATAAAAATAAAAATAATTTTAAATAAGATAGAAAAATTAAAATTTAAAATAAGATATGAATTTATTAAATTTTATAAGTATAAAATATATTTAATATGAATATTTTTTAATAAAAATCGAGTCATGTGGTTCAACTAGTGACTCACCGGTTCAACCTTTGACCCATTGACCCGGTACCTTAACCGGTTCGATGACCGGTCCGATTTTTAAAACTATGGGTTCAACTAGTGACCCACCGGTTCAACCTTTGACCCATTGACCCGGTACCTTAACCAGTTCGATAACCGGTCTGGTTTTTAAAAGTATGATTTAAGGTAAAAGTGGTTGGTGTCTTAAACATTTGTTTAATGTAAAAGAAAACACTAAAATATCAAAACAGAAAATAATTTAGCTGGTGGACACATCCTAAACATGAATCAATAGAGTTTAAATTTTCGCATTTCCTGCTTTCTTTTAGTTTCCTCTGTCGTTGCATTTTTTATGCTTATATTATTATTTATCCTTATCTTATATTATTCTGTAGTTTGTTACGAGATGAAAGAGACGTTCATGTCTTGCATTGAATCTTATTTGAGCCTTCTTCATAATTTATACGACCTAACATTTCTTTTGGGGATAATTGGTCTTTTCATCTGGCTCGGTTTTTCTCAATTACAATTTACAAGTTGCATTTGATTTTTTTTTTATTTTTATAAATATGAGCGACGTAGTATCTAAAATTAATAATTAAAAATTAATCGTGATTTTTTTTTATATATTAATTTTGACATATAATGATTTATGAAGTTGATATACTGCTGTATCCGTGCTGATGAATAAACTATAAACATTGCCCTCCCAAGTTTATGCACCAAAATAAAAGCTCTAAATCAAGAAATAAAAATCTCCAAGTGACACTTTTTTCAACGATTGGTGAGCATAGGAACTACGTTTCACTTAACAGATGAAAAGGGTTAACATCATCATATAATAAGGCTAATAAGTGTGGAGGTGAATCACTAGTAGACCAAACAATTTAGGATTAGTTTGACATTTTTTTTCTTGTGAGCGAGTTATTAGTTTTTAATTAATGATTAAATTTTATTAAGAGGATTTTTAAATATTTCTTAACAGGTTAACGACAAGTGATCAGCTTTCGAAAACTTAAGTCCACGTTATTAAAATCCTTTTTTTAAAGCTAATTAGTTATGAGAGAATACATATTTTTGACAGCAATTATCATGAAATATTCTTAACCATGTTTAAAAAAAAAGTGTTAAAATTATTAAGACATTTTTGTTCTTATACAATGCTTGTCGAGTTCTAGCACGGTTCACCAATGCTTATCCAAGGGGACCCACCAGCAAAAGAGAATCACTTTTTGGAAACGCTGATTTCACAAAATTGAATTGCTTCTTCTTCACTTCTTCAACTCCCTCGCGTATAGGTTTCTTCCCTGTTGACTGTTTCCTTCGGTTGTGTCTTCCGATTCATGACTCGCTGAGTCTCCGTAACTTGTAACTTGGAACGATTCCACCGAACGCCGTTTGCGCACTGATTCCCCGCAATTGGATCCGATGGGAAGCATCGTGGAAGGAGTTGAAGTTTGGGGAGAGGGGGTGGAAGACACAGTGTACGTGGCGGTCGGAAAGAACACCGAGAAGACTCAACAACTGTTGCATTGGGCGCTTCACAATTTCTCTGGCAAACAAATTTGCCTTCTTCACATTCATCAACCTCACTCTCTCAGTTCCTTTTGTGAGTTTCTCTTCATTTCTAACCCTTCTTTTTGTTTTTTTCCCTTTTTAAGCGTAAAACCTTTTATTATTATTATTATTTGGGTCCTGTGGTTGTTTTCTGATCATCAAACGCTTGACGAAGGTGTACAGTTTTAGTGAAAGATTTGTTGGTGGTTTGGTTATTCGTTAGTTTAATTTGGTTGTTTGGTTTGAATGGTTGCTATTGATTCCTTTTTTCTTTTATCACTTAAAAGATATATTCTCGATAGCCTTGTTGGAGAAGATACGAAGACCGATAGTGCAGAATTGAACTCTTGGATTGGATAGTGTGAAGCTCAGAAGATAAATATTGGATTATGTAGTTTTGCATTTACGGGTGATAATTGATGAAATGGATTTTGAAGCTATAAATGATGAAACTGTTTAGGTAATTCACTGATTGGGGTGATATTTGACTTGTGAGAAGCATATGATATCAAGGTTTCAAAGATCACGACTTAGAGCACAAATGAGTTGTATTGAACATTTGAAGTGAGTCAAGCTGTGACTTGAAGCTAAGGTTTGACCTGAAAAAAAACAAAAAAAGACGAAGCTTAAGCTTGCCTCATTAATTCGAATAGCCAAATTTAAGGCGTGAGCTTGTTTTGTTTAATTATATTAAGTTTGATCCCTTGTTTTACATGTTTATAGTTTAATTGTTTTTCTTTTCCTTTTCAGAATAGCCAAATTTTAGGCTTGAGCATAATTCTCTGACTTAAAAATTAAAGAGTGAGAAAGAAAGAAAAAAAAAACTGTGCTTTATTTTGGCTCTGGTTCTTATTTCTGGTTCCGATATAATTGCTGTAGTAAATACTGAGCTTGTTCTGGCTATATTCATCCTGGGTAGGGTAGGTTTTATCTGGTAGTTTGGTAACATTTAACAAACAATGAACAAATTTTTTTGCCTTGCAGTGGGCAGAAATCTCTCTGGGGTTGTACCAAAAGAGCATGGAAATCAATCAGTGCACAAACTTCTAGACCAATACATTCTCACTCTGGTCCCAGCAGGGGTATTATCTTTTACCTATTTCTTCATTTCTGTAGAAAGTTTTGAGAAATTATTGGCACTATGGGGTTGTTTGGATAAACTTCTCTGTAAACACTTATTAAGAGAAGAAAATATGAAGAAAAAAAGGAAATAAGTTTTTTTATAAATTAAAATTAACTTATACATAAATTAATTTATAGAAACTTTCTCATATTAGTTTCTCAAAAAAACTTACTTTTAACTTGTGCATAAACTAAGTTAGCTTATAGAGAAGCTAATTTCATTTTTTCCTTGTTATTTTTTTTTTCTCCTTTAAGGGCTTATAGAGAAATTTATCCAAACAAGCCCTATGTAATCTAACTATATTTATTTTAGTAAAAAAGTAAATCCAACTTACATGTGCATTTTAGTATGTAACCTCAAAAATGTGGAATGTGATCCTTAAACTTTTTAAAGTGTGTTTTAGTCACTCCATAATTTTCCATCAAACATCAACTAAAATTGTCATGCTGAAGTTTTTTGTACCTAATTTTTTAATGGGAAAGTTCAATTTTCCTTCTTTAACTTTGGTTCAAATGCACTTTGGCCCTTAAAAAAATATAACAATTTTTCTTAATTTGTAAGGATTGCGTTGCATGTTTGAAATATTGAGAATCAAAGTATGCATGACACTAAGTTGGACGAGGTAAATTGAACTTTTCCCTTTATTTTAAGGACAACTACTACTAGATAGCACAATAAAGTAGTGACTACCTTCTCCAAAGCATGATGTGCACAATGAATTTTAGTTAAATTTAAACAGTTCAAAGTAGTAGTTATGGGAGATGCTTGTAATGTTAATAGCTATTTCTTGAAAAAGTCCAAATTTTGTTTACATTATGGCATATGTGCATAGGTACGGGTTCATAAATTGTTGATTGAGATGGATGATATTGAAAAAGGGATCGCAAAAGCTATTGCTCAACACAATATTAGATGGCTTGTAATGGGAGCAGCAGGAGATGGATATAACTTGGGGTACCAATTCAAAATCTCTGTAGCTTTTAATTTTAGTATACGATGCTCATATATGGTACGACTATTAGATACTATACATATAAGATATATATCTAGATATGTATAAAAATTATAAAATATAATAAATATATAGTTGCATTATTAAAATCCAAATTAAGAACATGTCTTTGACATTAATATAAACAAAATAAAAGCTACAAATCCTTGTCATCATAAATCACTTTGTATTGTCTACAAATAGGAATAGTATCAATCTCATTTCTTTCTTGGAATCCTCCTTAAAGAGGATAATTTCCATTTTTTGGCTCATTAAGGGGCAATGCTTCTATGTTTTTATATTATACATGCTTCTCTCTCATATGTAGCTATACTAGATTTTCATAACTTATTTTAAAGCTTGGATACTTCATAGATATGTATCAGGGAAGTATTCAACAGTATTGATATCAAATACAGATACATGAAGCAATTAAAGTATCTTGATTTATAGATTTTAATGCTCTCATTATTTTTCCTTTTCCTTATCCTCCTGAAATTACTGAAAACTTGTGCTATAAAACTGGTGCTGCTTATAGAAAACAAAACACAATTGGTCTAGATGATCTTTGTCTTTGTGGTGATGTCTCTCTTCTCCTCAACTTTCTTTGGGATAGGATTGTGACATTGTGTTTATGTGTTCCCATAGGTGTTCTACAATTCTGTATATAGTTTTTTATGGGGGGTTTTCCATTTCAGATATGCCTAGATATTGGACAGCTATTCTGCATCCTTCACGTTTTCATTTTTTGAAAAGGTTCTATCTTAATCCCCCCATATTACATTGATGTTCATGTTGGATCACTGGTATCGGAAAAAAAAAATACAACTAGAAAGTACTACTTGGCTTGAGGATATTGACAACAGAACTGAACTAGCTTTGTGTTCAACAAAGTTTATAAATACAAAATGTAAAATAAATGCAGCACAGTAGGATATCCAAATAAAATTGTTTATTCCTGTCTGGTTAAATGAAACATTAATTCAAGAGTTTTATTTCAAGTCTGACTTAGATCTGTTAATTTGCATCTTTTGTATCATTACTGAACTATTGTGGTCGGAATTGCAGCAAACTAGCTAAGCAAGAGTCAGAGAAAGCTATTTTTGTACGTGAACAAGCATTGCTATCCTGTAATATTTGGTTCATTTGCAAGGGAAGCCTTATATGTACTAGGTAAAAATGAAAATGAAAATGACATTTGCAGTGCAATGACATGATTGTATTGTCTTGTGTAGATTAGGTGGACTGCACAAGTGGCTTGGTCAATTTCTTCAGAGCACTTTATGATATGGAAGGATGAGCTATTAAGAAACAGCATATTTATTCAATTTGATTTGATGGCATTCATTTTTATTAACGAATGGTTTATAAAATAAAAATAATAGGCAAGGAAAGAACACATTAAGGTAACTGGTATGGAAGTAGGGCAATAGGTTGATTGAGGATAGGAAGAGGGAGAATTTTGGAAGATGGTTGTCATACTAATTGTATAGACAATGGATCTGATGGTTTGTGGTGGGTTGCCCCAATGATTGAGCACTGGTTTTCCATATTGGAGTTCCCAGGTTCAGATGCCTTCAACAATGGGTGGTGGGACTTTCTGAAAAGGAAACAGGATACTGTCTGTTGTATGGCTTCCTCATATGACCCACAATAGAAGAATAAAAGGAAATAAGGAAAAGTAGTTAGAATTGGTTAAATGTAGTCAATTACAGAATTAGTTGGGTGATTGGCTTAAATAGTAGGACGAGTGTATAAGATCATTCATTCTGCATTTTAACCATTTGATAACTAGGTATTAGGTCTGTTATAAAAGGAAAACCCTTGAAAGGAGAATTCTCTGATTAGTTTTTTTTGTTTGTAATTAAGTGAACACTACCAAGTATTATTTTTCCTTGTCTTTTTTTTACTATATTCTGTAATGTTGGTACTTTGTAACAACTCATTCAGCTGATAACATGTGCTGTCTCTTACATTTTTTTATGAAATGTGCAAATGTAATCAGGGTATATAGTAAGCATACTTCTGATATAGAGACTGGCCCTGCTTTGTTGGCGCTCGATTCAAATACAGAAGCCAAACATTCAGAAAATATGAAATCAGAATCAACTCCTGATGCATTGAAATATTTAGGTATTCTTCCTGGATGTTTCTTTGCTTTTTTGTTGTCAATTTTAAAATGGCATAGGTATTTTGTCAATTCAGGTCATTTATCATTGTCTGTAGGAACTGTTACTGGAATAACGGGTGACAGGTTTTTGCAGATTCTGATGATATGAAAGAGATCAAAAGTGTCTATTCCAACCATTCCATAAATTCAAAATGGTCCTTTAATAATGTTACTGACAGGTCAAAGTTGGCAAATTTGATGTTTCATGAGGTGAGAGGTGATTTTTCTCTTTCGACCTTGGTGTAAAAGTTTCTTCGGTTTTCAACTTTTCAAACTTTACATTTTCTGGTGTGCTATACTACTCTTTTATGGTAAAACAGTAGGAGACTTTGTTCATGAGTCTGCACTTGAAAGTTAAGTTATGATTTCTTGTGAATAAATATCAAAGTGTATCAGAGGGATTTTGAATATTGTCCTCAGTCTACAAAAATATATTCATTTCAATCTGCAGTTTGGCATATTGTGTCTGTTATAAACCAATTGGTAAGTGGTAAATTTTGAATTATTCATGATTTTATTTTTTGCTGGAGGAAAAAGAAGAAAGTGAACAACGGAACAAGCAAGCAAAATATATGGTAAACTGGCAAAAAAAAATATAGATGCCTAGAGCATGAAACCAAAAGGATATGGAGAGAGGCATTAAAGAGATGGAAAGTAGAAAATATTTCCATGAAGTTTGACAACAAACAAATTCTTTCTTCACTTAAATATAATTTTTTTCTTCTAATGGTGTCTCATGTTTGGTTTCTTAAATTTTGTTCGTCGGTTGTTATTTGTGTATAAGTATAATGTTTGGAAATATGAAGAAAAAAAATGTTTCATTGGATTGCTTCATAGTTTAACTGGCTCAAAGATCATGGTTTATCATTTGATGAAGGCTGGGGCATGTAGATTAGACTTTTTAGTTCTTCAATACACTGCCTTAATTAATACTATGAATTTGTGTCTGATTATTGATGAACTAAGTGATTCCATTTTTCTCCTAAAACTTGCTTCAACATGCATTTTTGACAGGATGAAGCATTGGAAAGCTGGCATGCTAAGGAGATAAGAAGAACAAAAGAAGTTGAAGAACAATTGGCAAAGGCAAAGCAAGAGGTTCAGAAAATGAAGAATCAGCGGGATGAAATACTTGATGAATTACAAATGGTCCAAGATGAAAATTCAGCCCTTATGAACCAAATTTCAGAGTCCCAGTGTATGGAAACAGAGTTGGAGGAGAAGATCATATCAGCTGTGGACCTCTTGATAAGTTTCAGGGAAAAGAGAGATAGGCTCAGGATAGAGCATGCACATGCAGTTAGGGAAGTCAAAATGGTGAGAAAATTTGGGAAAGCAGATACCTCCTCTTATAGGGTAGAATTCCCTGCATTTTCTTTCATGGAGATCAATGAGGCAACTCATGATTTCGATCCATCTTGGAAGATTGGAGAGGGAAGGTATGGAAGTGTTTACAAGGGACTGCTCCGCAACATGCATGTTGCCATAAAAATGTTACCCTCTTATGGTCGTCAGAGCCTATCAGAATTCCAACATCAGGTACTCTTATATTTTTTATTATAGTCTCTACTTGGTGGTCTGAAAATTAGAATATGAAAAAAGCTCATTAAAAGCCCCAAAAGGTTTTAGAAAGAGTTATGGTTTTTACTTGATTAATAGTTATCATCTTTATCATTATCATTTCCATAGAATTGCACTATATATCATGTCATGATACAACAGGAACACATCATAACATATTCTACCTGATTTATTTTATGAAGGTGTTCGGATTATTGGATGTATTTTTTTAGAGAAAGGAATTATCAGTGTGGTGCATTTATGACTTTTTCTTTTAAAAATCAGCTATAAATCTCCAAAGTCCGGAGTTTTATTTTCTCTTCACTTAATAGTTTGTTCCAATTGGTTCCTGTTATCAGATTCAAATACATATTCTAAAATTCCAAGCTTCTAATACTCAAGTTATACGAGATTAAATTATATTGAGTGGTTTATCCAAAAAATCTCGACTGAATGATTTTGTCATAGGTTCTGCATCCATGAGGAACTCACAGATATTTATTTTTTTGCCCTGGCTATGTTATTGGCTGAATTTCAGGTAGAGGTCTTGTATAGGGTAAGACATCCAAACCTGTTAACACTAATTGGAAGCTGTGCAGAGTCTAGGTCACTTGTGTATGAGTACCTAAACAATGGCAGCCTTGAAAGCCATCTTTCCCGCAAGGATAAGAATCCACTTCCTTGGCAAATTCGAATATCCATTGCTATTTACATATGCTCTGCTTTAATCTTCCTTCACTCCAGCGAGCCTTGTATTATCCATGGGAATTTGAAACCTAGTAAGGTTCTCCTTGATGCGAACTTTGTTGCCAAGATCAGTGACTTGGGCATTCCTAGTTTAGTCCAGCAAAGTTTGGATTCAGCTGACACAAGCACAATATGTAACAACCCAAATGAATGTTTGGCATATGTGGATCCAGAGTGTTTTGTCACTGGCAAGTTTACACCAGAATCAGATGTATATTCATTCGGAGTCATATTGTTGCAACTTCTAACTGGAAGACCACTTTCGGGCCTAGTTAGAGATATGAAATGTGCATTGGAAAAGGAAAACCTTAAAGCAGTCTTGGACATTTCAGCTGGTGAATGGCCACTTTACCAAACCGAACAGCTGGCATATTTAGCATTGAGGTGTTGTGAAAAGACATGGTTGAACCGACCAGACCTTGTGTCAGAAATCTGGAGTGTTCTTGAACCATTCAAAGCTACTTGCATTGGCACGCCACCATATTTGACTTCTAAGAAGCTTCGTCGTGTTCCTTCCCATTTTGTCTGCCCCATTGTCCAGGTGAAGATCATAAATTTTTCAAAATGCATTTTGCTTAAAGAAAGGCTTGGTTTTTGTAGTATTAAAAATGCCATATAACCAGCTTTTTTTTTCCTGTCTAAACTTCTGACTAATGAGTTAGCTTAACTTTTAACTTTATGATGGATGAGTGGTTTTACAACTTTATCTTATCCGATAATCACTCTCAAATCTAATTGAATTCTACCAAAATCCTGGCTCGTTTTTGTTGTGTAGCTGTAACACTATTATTTTATATAAGCAATTAACGGGTCTGGTTATTCTTTTCCCCTTTCTAAATTAGCAGTTGTTGTAGCCTGTGCTAATTATTGCAATCACAATAAAAACATTAGGAATACTAGGAGCACATTCTTTGCTAACTCACTATTATTATTAATTAAATTAAAATTATTGTAAACTATTAAATTAGGAGAGAGACTCATTATATAATACGTGAGAGTGTGAGACCCACTAAAAATATAATTTTTAATAAATTTTAGTTAATAACGAAGAGTGTATTTAAAAGAGTATGCAATAATATGTTGTTAGCATTTCTCAGAAAACATTGAGCTCCGTGGTGTTGCTTACTTGCTTTGTTGATCATGATAATTACAGCACTTGCTTTTTGGTTTTGCAGGAAGTAATGGAAGATCCATACATAGCTGCAGATGGCTTTACGTATGAAGAAGAGGCAATAAGAGGATGGTTGAATAGTGGCCACGACACGTCCCCCATGACAAACCTCAAGCTTGATCACACAGATTTGGTACCTAACTATGCTCTGCATAATGCAATTCTGGAGTGGCAGCAACAGTGAACCTTCATTGTCCATTATACTTGCACATATTATACTGGTGTAAATCACACTTACATTCCTTTACCCTTAACTACTCATTTTAGAAAATTCACTTTAGAAGAGTCATGTCCTAAAATCTTGATATCAAGTTCGGGCGGAGAAGGGAGGAAAATAGAGAGCAAGGGAAATTTTTAATTAAACGTTTCCCCTGATTGAGAGCTTTCTAAAATGAGGAATGATCATGTAAATAAGAATCCGTATTTATTTTTATGAACATTTTAAAATTTAAAGTTCTCCAAATTTGAAGGATTAATATTTAAATCAGTTGAATGAAACTTGTTATTTGATTTCACCACACCCTTCCATTCCTTTCCCCTTATCATTAAAGGAAATGAGATTGTTTGGTTTGGATTGTAATTCATTTCCTTTATAAACACCAGAAATGTGATTGTTTATTTTTGGTAAGTAATTAATAAAATATTACAATTTTATTTATAAACATAATGTATTCAACTATTTCTTGATTTATTTTTAATCATTCTAATTTTTTTAATCATATGTTGTGCACTTTGGGTGATAAAATGCAAAAAAAAATAAAAATACATGAATTAATAAAATATAACAATTGTTTAGATTTTATAATACTTTTATTTAATCATGAACTTTTAATTGTCGATTTTTTAATTAATGATTACGAGTACAGCATTGTTTATATAGTACATTTTATCTGAGGAGTCAAATTTTATATATTTTTTTTCAAATTTTGAACTTTTTTGGAAGTGTTCCAAACATACATATTTGGTGGCATAAAAAAAATATACATATTTGGTATCTAATTGTAATTGGTTGCAAGGGAAGTGAATTGTAATTTTTAGTACGGGTTTAGATTGAAACCTAGGAATAGGATACATGTAAAGCAGCAGATTGCGTCAAAGATGTCAAATATTCATCTTAATGTGTTTCCATTGTCCTTGGACTTCAAATAAAACATGTGGTTAGATGATATGCATGTTTGGGTTTACATTGAATCATTTAAAGAATCGTGTTGAAATTTTAGTTAACATGATTTTGGATTATTATTTACATCTTTGGATCCACTTTAAGAAACTGATTTTGGAGTTAAAATTGATTTTCGAGTTAAACTTTAGTCAGTTTTTTATTGAATAAAAATATTATATTGAAACTTACTATTAATTAAATTGCTTTTAGAATAAAACGTTCAAACTTCCCTTCACTTTAAAATTAGTGTCAACTAAAATCAATTTTACAAAATCAATTTCACTTGATTATTTTTTAATGGTGCAGTTGTTTACTTTAAAATGGATATCAATACATTTGAAGTGGAGAACTAACACCATATTATTTTATTGATTGAAATTTAGTGCTAATTTGAGAATGAGATCTATCTATTTAGTAGAATATACATAAATCTCATTCGATAAAATAGAATTAGATTGAAAAAAATATATTAAACAGTATATTGTTAACAATTTTTTTTATATATTTTAGTAAATAAGTTTTTGAACCTAACTACAAGAATATCATAAAAAGTATTGGATTGTTTAGTCTGAAAGTATAAAACTATGAAAATTTAATGTTATTACAACAAAAGTTATACAAGTTTTTCAATTAAGTTGTCATTAATTATCAATAAGTGTTGTTTCGGAATGTTTCCATGTCCCAAATCAATGTCCAAAAGATTGATCATATGATTAGATTGTCCAAAGACTAATCATATGATTAGATTATTTTTTTTTATATGATTTTATGTTTAGTTCATCCCTTCTAATCTGACTTTCATATTTAGTGACCGCATAATGCTTAATCTCTGAAATTATGTAGTTGTTAATGACATAGGTATGCATATAAGAAATACATAATGTCATTTGCAATGATCTCCTAACCAAACATGACAAAATGACAATGTCAACTATCAAACACATGATTGATCACAGATTAAACTGTCTAAAAACTTATGACATAATAAAATCTTTTTTTAATGTTGAAATCACTTTAACGCGAAATATTTGAAATCCTTTCAAATTCAACTTTCATATTTAGTTATCACTTTAACATGTAATATTGAAATCATGCAATCACTACTAATATAAACATGCATGTTGTGTATAAGAAATATTTAACATAATTTGTATTTAATCTTCTTATCAAACAAGACTGTTAACTATCAAACACATAATTATTGTCTTATATAAATATCTCCATTGTCATCTTCGCCAAGTATGATTTATCCCACCTTTGACGTCATTATTTTGTTGAACAATGACTTCAACATTAGACTCTAGTCTTTGCAATTACAATCCCCACAAAATATACAAAGATCCCTTTGATATCGATGCAAGTGAATTGATCCAAGGTAATGTGTAATGTAATTTATATAATACTTTCTCTTAAAATGCGTAAAATATTGAGAAAAGAGTTTTTTACTCAAATAATACTATTTTAAAAAATATTTACGTAAATAGTAACAGTGCAAATTTATTTTCCAGACTAGCACTATTTACTGTTCACGTTCTAGAACAGGCCGTTTTGATTTCAGAACAGGCGGTTCCAAATTAAAAAATAACACATGACAAATGCATGGATCAGAACGGGCCGTTCCGGATTCAAAAAATGCAAATAAAAAGTGGAACCAGAACGGGCCGTTTTGAATTCGGAACGGGCCGTTCTGGCCTATAAATAAATTTTTTTAGTTTGATTTTTACTAATCAAATACTAAAGTTCAGAAACTAACATCAAATAATTAAATTTATTGAATATTAACATTGTAAATATAACAAAATAAATTTATTAAAATTCAATAAACAATAAAGATCAATGGTGGCAGAAACTGATTATGTTGTTCCGTAATGTCCATATCTGTTTTAATCCTGCTGGACTTTGACCACCCTTGAAAGTTCTCTTGAATTCTGGATTTGGCCACAAAGTTGGACCAGTGTAAGTAGGCCAATAATCTTCATGTCGGAGCTCTCCAAACTGTCTTTCGTATACTTTTGCAACTTATTGTAAGGTATATATGAGAGATATGTAAGTTTGATAATCGTGATGTGCATGTAAGTATGAAGCGAGTACATGCGAGCAAGAAATATGAACTTTTTGGAACTTGCCGCAATCACACCACATTACATTTAGCCTTACTGTAAATCTCTCAGCGAGTCATGCGAGCAAGGGATATGAACTTCCTAAAACTTGCTGCAATCATACCACATTTCATTTAGCCTTATTGTAAATTTCTCAGCGGGTCAAACTTCTCTCGGATGTTGCGTTTCTTCCAACTTTGTGACTAAATCTAGAACGTAAAAGAACTTTCAAGGGTCAGCCAAAGTCCAGCAGGATTAGAATAAAGATGGACATTAGATAATAATATAATTGTGTAAAAAATTGTTCCTATTGTCACGCTCCTGGTCACGCTACCATTGATCTTTATTGTTGTAATGAATTTTAATAAATTTATTTAGTTATATTTATAATGTTAATATTCAATAAATTTAATCACTTGATGGTAGTCTCTGAATTTTTGTATTTGATAAGTAAAAAAAAAAAAAGCCTGAATCTATAGGCCAGAACGGCCCATTCCAGATTCAGAACGGTCCGTTTCGGATTCGAAACGGTCCATTCTGGATTCAAAACGGTCCGTTCTAGAATGTAAACAGTAAAAAGTGCTAGTTGGGGAAATAAATTTGTACTTTTGCTTTTGGATAAATATTTTTTAAAATAGTGATGTAATTCATCATTTTTGTTTATCATGTTACGTCAACAACCGAATTTGAGGACATGGTGCCCAAATTGAAAGCGTTTTTGGGTGGACTACAACCCTTGTCTACGTTGTTGCCGTTTAATTCCATCCTGAAATGGACTGAAACGACGCTGACGTTTACCTGTAAACCACGTGCAGTTCCGCAAACAGGCACGTGCGGCTCACTCACTTCCTACCTCGGAATGAAGTGCTTGTGTTTAGTCATGTGACTGTGGAGAGTGGAGACCGAACATGAATTCAACACCACGCACCTTCACGCGCAACACGAGCGCGTAAGTGGAAATCTTCGCGGTGAAAAGAAAAGTTAAACAATAATTAATTTAATATATTTTTATTAATTTCCTTATTATTATGTTTTTGAAGTTGTTGTTTCTTGTTAGAAACGCTTTTCGCCCTACTACAACTGCAGCGTGCAGGAACGACAGAGAGTTCTCTCTCTCTCTCTCTCTTAAACGCTATTTTCTCGCGTTTTCTCTGACGATTTTCTGTCCATCCAAACACTCTCAATCCCTTCGCAGCCGCTTGCGGTTCCTCTTCGGATCGTCACAAGAGAATCTCTTCGCCTTTCAACCGATCTCTTCATCGTCCTCTCTCTCTGGTGCGTGATCTGTTGTCACTTCACCTTACCTTCTCTAACTCCACAGTAGATCACGTTAATTGATATCGTTATATTATAGTTTTCTCCAAAAATAAATTTACCTTTCAGTGTTTGAATAGTTGAGGACATGAAAGAAAAGTTTGAATATATGAGGTAGCTTTATGTTTATGAGAGATCCTGTTAACACTGATCCATTCTTGTGTTCGATTTACTGATTCATAATTTGATTGATAAGGTTATGGCTATTTTGTTCTTATAAATGGAGAATGCGAGAACGTAAATTTCTTCGCCAATGGAGTGACGGAACAGAGTTATAGTGTAGTTTCTACATTGATCTATTGTGCCTTTGTGAAGTTTTGATGTGTTTTTATTTTTCTCTTTGAATTAATGTGTTGGGAGATTCAGTAGCTTGTGTCAATTGTCTAGCAATATGCAGTGTCTTGACAACTTTTGCTAGTTCCTTTGTAATTCAATTTGTTGAATATGTGTAGTTTCCTTCTTATTTTTCTATTTCCCTGTGATTTTAAATTTATTTACATGTTTACATGTAATATTTTATACTTTCTCGCAGTGGAATCTAGCAAAGTTTTGAATAGATGCCAGTTGCAAAACTCACGACCTCTGGCACTTCCGATTTCACGAAAACAGGTGATGGAAACGACTCTTTAGATACAATAATCAGACAAGCAATTGGAAAAGAGCCCTTACTTTCCTTTCCTAGGGCCGGTGACAGCCCAGTCCAGTGGATTCAATTACTTCATGCATTAGATCAGCAAGGTATTAGCAATTATTTGAGATTATATTTGAGGGTGAGGGTTCATTAAAGGCATTTATATGTAGCCTGTAATGATATGTTAGCCATGTGACTAAATGCAGCCTGCCTTAACAGTAAAATAAAAATCAATAAAAAGAGGAAAATAAAATGGTAATTTAGAATTGCTAGACTAGTGGTGCCTTTGTGCTGATCTATTCTAGGCTAGCAGAATTATATGTAAATGTATCATAAGTAGCTTTTAAGCTTGTATCTGTTGATTCTGATTCTAAACTCAGACATTCTGATAAAATATTTCATTTGTTTGACAGAACTTCCAGGGTGGCCTTTGCTCTCTCCTGTGAAGGTTCAGTTGCAAAAGTGCAACAAGTGTTCTCGAGAATTTTGCTCTACCATTAACTATAGAAGACATATACGTGTACAGCATCGGTTGAAAAAGCTTGATAAGGTTATCTTTTATAACATAATAGTAGAATTGATTATCTACCACATTGATTCTCTTAGTTCATGCTTTTTCCCTTTTTTGATATTTTATGGTTTGAAGTCTTCCTCATTTTTGTCCAATGCTTCTTACACATTGTAGGATTCTAAAAAAAATAGGGATCTTTTAGGAGCATATTGGGATAAGGTAACCTTTCATCATTGTGAATTTCAGTTATATGAGCAGTACATCTAGTTTTAATGTGCTAATATTCAATCATTTGTATAGCTCTCTGTAGAAGAGGCAAAGGAAGTTGTGTCATTCAAGAATGTAATGCTGGAGGTAATATCTTTTTGCTCCTTACCAGTCTGTTTGGTATAATGGAAATGGTGGGGAAATAGAGAAGAGGGAGAAAAAAAATAGGTGAGAAATGAAAAATTAGGGTTGTTTGGTTGTGTGAAAATAAGTGGGTAGAGAAATAAAAAGGTGAGTTGTAACATAATTGATTTCTTCTTGTCTGGAGATACTATCAATTATATCTTTTTTAAATTGTGAGTTGAATGTAGACGACACTGATTTCTATAATAGACGGATAAGAAACAGAGCTACAAATACAATGACGCTGCAGTCAATTTTGGTTTTCTTGTTTTCAGCTCTTATGGTTTTCCACTTTTCCTTTTGTCTCTCCTTAACTAATCAAAGTATCTTGCATTCTCGTTTCTCCCCTGTTGAAAATGCTTTGCAGGAAGTTCGAGGCTCTTCAATTTTAGAGGCTTTGATAACTCTTAGAAAACAAGGATTTTCTTCTCTTCCACAATATTATCTGAGGGCTGGTTCTGCCCTTTTGGTAGGAAACATTGTGTCGTCATGCTTATGCTTATCAATTATTTGTTGTGGCTATTTTTTTCTGGTACGTTCGTTTGGTATATTAACATTATCTAAATGTTATGCAGGATATTGTTCAATCCAGGCCGTCTAGTTTTCCCATATCTTCCCAAGAGTTGTTCAGTATCCTAGATGATTCTAGTGAAAAAACATTTTTGTGTGGATCAGCAGTGTCAATGCAAAGATATGTTTTCGATGGAGAGGCTGGAAAGATTGGTCTTGAACCCAAAAACCTCGTTGCTTGCACAAGTTTTTTGCTAGAGCAGAAATTGGTAATAGTTTTTCCTAACTTGAAAATCTGTTCTATTTATCTATAAACTTTTCCTCACATGCACTGGTGTGATTTTTTGAGTGTCTATAACTATAAGTTTTTTTGTTGTTTGTTTCATTGAATGGAATAATCTTGCATGATATTCGTTATATAAAGCGATGCTAGAGCCTTCACCAAATAGATTAGTTTGTACAAATGCATTCTTCATTTATAGCAAACATTAGCTGTGAGAACAAAACAGTAGTTATTCAATCAGATATTTTTTTATTTCTGCAATGAGATAAAATCAATTCCCATGATCATCTTATCTTTGCTTCTTCCCAAGGAAGGTTGTTCCACCCAACCATATTTTATTGTGTTGCTGGTCATGGAAATCATTTAAAAAATTGGTTTAGAAGTACACAACAGTCCGCCCTTCTATCCTGATTGAGAGTTTATATATGTCCACATTTACATAATAACATAGGTACCATTTTTCATAATTACACAAAGGAAGATTGAAGAGTTTTAGAGTAGAAAGGGAAAATTAATGTGAAACGATATGTCATCATCCAGGGCTGATGAAAAACCTATGCAATTCAATGTTGTCTCTTTTTAGGAATTGACACATGAATCAAGCACGTAGCTTGATATATGATTTGATTTTGAAGAAAAATGATGTGCTGGTGAAACCAGAATTCATGGCATATCCTGCTTGTACATATGCTTACATCAGACCTGATTCTATTCTAACTAACCCCAAAAGGGTGGTTTTCTTAATTAGCTTTTTAGATACAGTAATGATGAAATATGAATTTCCTTTCACATAGGTGAAAGCCTGGCTTGCTGACAAGGATGCTGAAGCATTGAGATGCCAGAAGCTGCTAGTGGAGGAGGAGGAAGCTGCTCAGAAAAGGTACATTTAGTGCTAGAACCAGTTTGTCCTTGAATCTATCCTTTTGTGGCACCTTTCACAATGCTTCCCTTATTCTGGTTCCTTTGTTCATATCAAGTCTTGTTGGTCTGCCCCAGCCCTGAGTGATTCTTGATTTTCATTTCAATGTTTAGGTTCTTGAGGAATGGTATAGATTACAGGGCAGTCACCTTGATTAAATGAAATTTAGGATTCAGAGTGAACCTGTTAGGATATAGAATAAAGGGAATTAGAATAGTTATTAGTTATAAATATCATGGGCTAGGCCCATCACATCTATAAATAGGAGGTTACTTGGTAGAGGGGAGGATTGAGATTTGTTTACATTTGTAAATTGAGCATTAGCTCTTTGTGAAAGGAGAAATCCTTTGTGAAGAGGAAACCCTTGGAGGAGATATTTCTCTCCTATTTTTTGTTCTTTTCAACATATTCAATAAAATCTTTCTTTTCTTTCTCTTTCCTAATTCTTGGTTCCTAACAGAACCCCTGACCATAACCCTCTTTTGATACCTGAAATAAGGGAATTCATATAACCATTGAATCAATGTAGCTGAAAAAATACATCCAAAAAAACCTAATTGGGTTTCATAGGCCCTGGTGTCATGAGAGAAACAAATTCACAAATGAAAAACAGGGATCAGGTTCTAAGAAAGATAGGGGTGTTATGATCACATTCACGCAGCATAACCAACTGCACAGACATAACATTGTAATGCAATAATTTTACTTTGTTTTTCCACTGTCTTGCTCGCTGGCTTTATGAATACTTCTAGGGACAATAATAGAGTCAAAATTGACATACGATGCTAATGTAATGACTTCTATTTCTCTTTCTTTAGTTTCATCTAAATTTTCTAGTGGCTTCTGTAACTTCTAATGTCCTATAATAAATAAAGTAAACTACATTATTTTTATTTTTTGGGTAGTTGATAAAATAATATTAGCTCTTTAAGTTGTTTATTTAGCAAAGCCAATAAGGTAGCAGAACTGCGGGTCAAGATTTACTATCTTGTAAACTATTCATGTATGAACAGGTTCTATATTTAATTTTTTGCCTTATTTATAGAAAAGCTGAGATTTTAGAGAAGAAACGCCTGAAAAAGCTTAGACAGAAAGAACACAAGGCAAGGGAACGACTTGAAGATGACTCAGAAATCAAAGGGAACATAAGCAGCACAGGGGAGGATGTATCGCCAACAAAAGCATCTCTGGGTACATTTGACTTTGATGCACGTAATCCAGATATATTTGCGGATCATTCTCCTCCACCACATGCAACTTCTGACTTCTTAGACACTAATGATGTTATAGAAGGGGATACACTGGCAGGGTATGATTGTGACACTGATCAGTATATAGAGCGACAGACATCAGGAGGATATAATCGCCGTTGCACAATAGCTGCCAGATGGCAAGGAATGCAAAAAGCACAGTGGGCTAGAGCCAATGGTCATGCAAGCCAGAATTCTCAAATGTGTAAGCTTGGAGTTGTTCAAAAACATGGAACCAACCGTGATCAAAGGGCAGCTTCTATAGCTAATGGGAGCAAGGTTTGGAGCCGGAAACCAAAACCAGAAACTAATGGGGTGGTTTTAAAAGCCAAACTGCAGACAGAACCAGACAAAGGCAAGAATCATGAAGTTTTGATAGGATCCGTATCTGTAAGTCTGGGTAATTGCAGCCATTCAGATGGTGATTTTGTGGCACCCCAGCGGGACTGCATGGTAGAGAATCTGGCCAAGCAGAATACTGCTCAGGAGAAGATAGTGAAACTCGATTCCTCTCAGGGAGGTAACAGTCGGTTAACAGTTAAGCTTTGGAGGCCGGTTAGCCAGCAAGGAACTAAAGATCCATTGCCACTTCAAAATGGTGGGACAGAAGCTGATGTAATTAATGGAAAATGTGATCAAAATTTGTCTGATCAAAGTAGTATAAGGTTGTGTAGTATAGATGGTAGTGATATTGGTTTTGGGAACTATTTTTCCCATACTGGGGCTAAAGTAAATTCGGAAAGCTTACGTCTATCCAGCCATGCTGCAAAAGCTTTTCTTGCACAAAGTAAGTTTTACCACTATATATTTACGTGTTTCTTCTATTTTATTGTACTGGTAGTGTGAATACCTGGCTTGGTCTTAATTTCGTTGATTTAATTAAAACAATTGTCATGCTGATGCAGGATGGAAAGAAGTTATCTCATCAAACCATGTGCAATTGGTTGTTACACCTGATTTTGAACCTCTCGGAGGCCAGCAGGTACTGAATCATGAACTACCAGCATCTCAATCTTCTAATGTGGACAGATGTAGCATTGTTGCAAATACAGAGAACCGGTTGCCTGCAACCTCTGGAGTGGCTAAATCCAAATCGAAAACGAAGCCTGAGAAGGGAATGAAGATAAAGTACATTCCCAAACAGAAAGCAGCAACGTAATATGAAGAAACAAATTTGAAATTGGGTTATTTAATTATGATGGCAGATATGCATAGATTGACTTCTCGCCAATTAATTTATTAGCAGAGGTTCCAGTTTTAACGATGGTCTTCTGTCAGAAAATTGAAGGTAGGTTTTGCCGGAAAGTCTTTTTATATTCCGTCCTTTTCCTTCAAATGATGCATAGGGGATTGTGCATTAAGTTTTTCTTTTCTTGTGGCATTTTTACCAATTTTTTGTGTAATAAATTTGTCTAGTTATCTTTATAAAATGGCATCCTCTTGTTTTTACTGTTACAACAACCCTCTCTCCCCCTCCCCCTCCTCCACCCCCCCC